GTCGTTTGCCAACAGGGACACCAGGGGGAGACAGACGCATTATTACAATGAGGCCTACGAGTATGACGACGACGAGTACGGATATGAGGAAGACTACCAAGACGGGTCGCGACCGAGAGGCTTCCCAAGACAACCCGTGACCTACGACCCCTACGGCCCCTATGAGGAGGAAGTGGATTACTATGACGACGAAGAGTGGGAAGATGAATATGGTTACTATGACGATGACGGCAACTTTTATTACGACGATGAGCTTTACTATGAAGATGACTTCGGCTACCCTTACGGCTATTACGAGGATGAGTACGAGGATTACTATGGGGATGAAGGGGTGGAGTATTACTACGGTGATGACGGAATGCTGTATGCAATGGAGCCGTATGGTTACTATGGTGACGCCATGTATGGTTTGTATGACTCGTATGACCCTGAACTGTATGGAGATTACTTTGACCACAATATGGGGAATGACTACGGGATGTCAGGCCCATACGGCGTGATGGGTAGTGGTTATGATGTGGCATCCGGCCTATATAATGATCCAGTGCTGGGATACACGGACCCCACTGCTATTTACAACCCCTACCAGCAACCTTTCTATATGGATGCTGGGCTGGATCCAGCTGAGGCAGGACAGCTGTATGTTCAGGAGCAGCTGTCTTACCCTCTAGTTGAGCCACTTTCAGGAGAGCAGTTCAGGGTCCCCAGGCCTCAAGTCCGGCTGTTTGGAAAAGACAGACTGGAGGTGGAAACCCTGCCACCTCCTCCTCTTGTTCATTCCCATCCCTCCTCCCCAATGTTTCCCCCTCCTTCCCCAGCTCTTGCCCTCAACAATCTGGAAATGATGTCAGATATACAGTATGAGCAGCCCTTCCCCGCATACTATCCTGCACAACCCCATTACTCTGCCGCCATGAACCAACAGCAACAAGCCCCCTCTCCAACAGCTATGATCTTTCAGCAGGAGCACGTCCCTCTCCCTCAGCCTACGACTCACCCACCTCTCACAGTTTCTCCCAGCTACCTGTCCATATCTGCCCTACCACCACAACTGCCCTCCCAAGTGTACCAACAGTTCCTCCCCCAAGACCCACAAATGTTCCAGATGGGGCAGATGTCGCCACTGGTCACACCAAAACAGCCACCGATGCCTCCACTGATGCGTTCACCAATGCCTTCACCGGTGGCCTCGCCCAGGCCAATGCGACGACTTAGTCCCCTTCCATCACCACAGCTGTCACTGAGGCTGGGATCGGTGAGGTCAGTCGCCCCTCCTTCACCTCACCTCTCGCAGCATCACATGGCCTACCAAACAGGCATCCAGCCGGACCCCCATCTCTCCCCTCGTTTACATAGGAGAGGACTCACACACCGGGCCTCAATGGCGGCCCACATGCCAACTTCCCCGCTTGACAGGCGGAGATCACCCAGTCCACCTGCCTCTCCACCACACCACAGGAGAGGGGTGCCAGTTAAGGCTCAGTCATCCCTGGGAAGAGGAAGGCTGGGGACCAGATTGCGCAGGGGTCCGTCAACCGTCCGAACCCAATCCCCACTTTCTAGCCCCCTGGCTTCACCACGGGGGTCTCTGAGGAAGAGAGCGAGCCCACCACCTTCCCCAAGACTCTCTTTCAGACAGCATCCCCCTCCGGATGCGGTGCCTCTGCCGTCTGCCAGACCGCACTTGTTCAAAGGTAGAAAACAAACATCCAAGATGAGGCACTCCCCCTCTCCTCCCCTACCATCCCCACAAAGACGGAGCCCCCCTCTACCAGAGAGATCTCAGTCCCCCCCACACACCTTCCGACCCACCTCTCCCCACTGTCCTCCTTCTCCTTCCCAGTCACGTATCACCAGTCGAAACCTCCCCACCCGGTCCTCTACCCGCAGGCTGAGAGGAAGTGCAGGAGGTCGAAGTCACGTGCCCATGGGGGCTGTGAAACCTTCCCCAGCTAACCCCTACTCTCAGAGACGCAGTAGACATGGACCCCCTGTCACTCAGCATGTAGCTCCATTCAGGTCCTCGATCCGCAGTGGCCCAGCTTCACCTTCAGGACAGATAGGGGGCATATCCGGAGCACCCATGTTAGCCAGGACAGGATCCCGGCCTACAGGGCTAAGGGAGTCAAAGCGAATTGGTACTCCCCAAGGAGGCTTCCATAGACCTGTAGGTAGGGGGCAGCCGCTAGTCCGTATGCCCAGAACCCAGCCCTCTCTTCAATCGAGGCAGTCATTCAGGGCGCCTCCTCCAGTGCCTCCGGTCTCACCACAGCCTTCGTTGAAACACAGTGGCCCTCTTTCTCCCCAGCCATCAGTGCGTAGGTTACAGAGTAGACCTCCATCTCCGCAACCACTGCATCGTCAATCTCCTCTGCCCTCCCGTGCAGCCTCGCCCATGCAGCATCTGTCTCACCCATCCTCCCCCTTGCCCCACAGGGCTATGAGTCCCCAGAGTCTAGGACCAGGACCGTCTTTTCAACCGTCGGTTCATCAGCCCGGACTTCTTCCCGGCACTCTCCCACCATCTCAGAGTATCACCCATTATGACTACACAATGATGGAACCAGGCCCATCCCCAATGCTTACCAATGCTTTACCAAACCATCAGTTTGTAGGTCCTCCCTTTCATTCCTCTCCTGTTCCTTCCTCCATCCCTTACTCCACCACTGCTTACCCTTCTCCTTTACAGAGACCAACCTTCCCCCAAACACAGCATGAAGTCTACCCTCAAAACCTCCCTCAAGCGGCTCCCTCATCACCGTATCTAGGACGCACGCTCCAGAACCCTTACCTGCAGAATGCCAGCAACACAACACCTTTGCAGAGAAGCGCTTCCCCCATACCTGGTGGGCAGGGAGAGATATCAGCTGAAGTACAGGTGAGCCAGGAGGTGAGCCCGTATGCCACTCTTGGTTTATCCAATGCTTTAATGCAGAACTCCCGGCTGCGCAGCGCCTCCTACTCATCTCCTCTACAACGCAACGCCAACCTCTATACGACGGTTCTCTCACCACCTCAGGCTGAAGCCCCTCTTGCCTCCTCTCTACCCTCCTCCCCACACTTGTCTTCCGCTATTCTTACCACCCAACTACGTAATGCTTCCTTTGCCTCACCCCTTCAGCGACACCTTTTCCCCATGTCTTCTGCCCCACAAGCTCCTCCTCCCACCACACCTCAACAAGGGTCTATCAGAGGTACATCCCCACTCTTCTCTGGTGGCCTCCGGACCTCCCAAATCCAGGGATCCATGTTCAGACTTCCGGGTGGTACTTTGACAATGCCTCGGGGCTCTGTTGAGCCTCCAGTAACCACTGATGGTGGAGGTGGTGTTAGTGGTGGTGGGAGGCTGTCACCCATGATGCTTTCCAATGCCCTGCAGAACCCAAGTCTACGTCAGGCCACCTATCAACTACCTGATGGCTCATTGGTCACCAGAACTGAACCCGCTGAACCTTCCTCAGGTCCATCCCCGCTCTCCTCCCCTATGCTGTCCTCCGCCTTGCTCAATCCTAGTTTGAGACAGGCCACATATCGTTTGCCTGATGGCACTCTTGTAACCAGGACGGAGCCCACACCTGCACCCTCCCCTTCCTCACCAATGCTTTCCTCTGCACTTTTGAACCCCAGCATGCGTAAAGCCACATATGGTCTGCCAGATGGCAGTTTGTTTATAAGAAATGAACCCGCCTCTGAGCCTGTCACCCCTTCCTCCTCTATGCTCTCCTCCGCTCTTCTCAATTCGAATGTTCGTAAAGCCTCTTATCGATTACCTGACGGTTCAATTCTGACACGTCCAGGAGAGGAAACTCAGAACGCTGAGCAGGCAGTATCATCACCGGGGCTATCTGGCGCCCTTATGAATGCTAACCTGCGTAAAGCAAAATTCCAACTCCCAGAGGGATCATCACTGTTTTCACGGAACCAACCTCAAGCTTCTTCCTCTGCCTCCTCTGGCCCTGTCCTCTCTGGTGCCTTGCTAAATACTAACCTCCGCGGTGCCTCCTACAGACTCCCAAACACGTCCCTATTGAGGCAGCCTGGTTCTGCTGATACCTCTGAGCCACGCTCTCTTGACCTTTCCAACGCTCTTCGCAACCAGAACGTACGCTCTGCCACCTACCGTTTGCCAGATGGAACTCTGATGACACGTCCTCAGCCCTCTTCGACATCGCAAACACTTGACCTGTCTAATGCTTTATCAATGAACCCAAACCTTCGTGGGGCAAAGTACCGTCTCCCCGATGGTAATATCATGACACGGCTCGGTGCCCCTAGGACTCCAGAACCTCGCTCGCTTGACCTTTCTGGTGCCCTGCAGAACCCTCACCTCAGAGGGGCCTCGTTCCGCCTTCCCTCCTCATATGCTGTAGTGTCACCCCAGGTCCAGGGATCTGGCCCTGAACAGCACTGGGCACACAGCTCTGGAGCTGAAGGACTGCAACAAGATGTGGACGTGTGGGACGCAGAGAGGGTTCTACCTCACGGGACAGTGCAGAACCTCAATAAGTGGTCCATGTATAGAGACGGGGAGCTGCTGGACCCCAACAGCTTGATGGTACAGGGACATGTGGGGCATGAACCAGGGGAGTGGAATCTCAGCAGGGAGGGGGAACCACAGGGGAACTGGTTTGACAAGGTAAACGTTTTTAATGACTCACACTACAAGCAGGCACAATAGCTAAAGTTGGGCACTTTCCTGTGTTTCTTCATGGTGTAATCATACAGTTTCAAGTGTAATATTAAGGTAAAAACATGGCACAGGTGTAGATTGTAAGAGGGGAGAGCGATATTAACTTATTAGTTGATGGTTGTTGAAAGAGCAGAGTATATGTTTTGGGTGAAATGTGTAAAACGTTTCTTCAGTGAGAGGCTGGAAAGAATCAACCTTAGAATAATCCAAAACAAAGGAGAATCGACACTTGATTGTGAACGAATGTGTGCGTGTATTTCTGCGTGTATCCGTTGTGCAGCGGCCCATGTGCATGTATCATGTGTTTTAGATGTACTCAATCAGAAGCCTGCCCACCATTACTCACCGGGAGCAAAGAGATGAAGATGGAGTGGAGGATATGACACAGCTTGAGTAAGTAAAAAATAACAAAAACCACATACATGAGTTATGTTTATCTGAGAGAGACCTACAAGGACACGTGCCATTAGTAACTCTGTTTTATTGCCTCCCACCAGGGAGATGCATGAAGGGACTGTTCTGCTGAACATGAGGAAAAGGTTTGACAGAGAGCTCATTTATGTAAGTATCTGAACAATACTAACTAACTATGTAAACTCAGATCAGATTATTATGAGCTTGTGTTTGATTCATCTCTTCATGTCTTTATTTTTTTGTTGGCTTCAGACATACATTGGTAGTATTCTGGTGTCCGTGAACCCCTATAAGATGTATAACATCTATGGCACGGACATGGTGCTGCTGTACAAGGGTCATGCTCTGGGAGAGAACCCTCCGTAAGTCACGTTCACTATCAAATTGCAGAGACAGTAAACAGAAAACTAGAATTGCCACTACCCTCGTATTTTAAAAACAGAACAGAATAGATTAATTTGTGTAGTTTCATGTTCTATTTTGAAGTTTTTTGTTGGCTCTATTGTGATTAAAGAATAAAAGGAAGAAAGGAAACTGATATGTTATAAGTAAAGGAAGTAAGGAAGGAAAGAATGATGCAGATAAATAACAATTAAGAGATCAAGATGGAAAGAAAGTAGGGTGACCAGATACCCCAATTTTCCAGGGACAGTCCCTGTTTTTGGTGTGCTGTCCCTGGCTGGAGCTGTCTCCGGAAATGTCCCCATTTTTAACTGTGAATTAAAAACAGACATCTAGCGTTTTGTTTTGACCAACAGAGGGGGCTGGTTGTTAGCTACAGCAGCTTCAGAAATAAAGCTAAACTCAACAAAATAGAGTTATCCAACTATTTATTTCCTTTTTTTGTTGTTGTCTCTAGGCAGAGAAAAGGTTAGCTGGCTCACTCATTGGTCAGGAGTTCATAACTAGGCAGTAAACTAATGTAAACAAACATACCCAAAGCCCCGCAGTTAGAATTTGAAAAAATTGCTTTTATGTTGGAAGAAGTGAAGAAGAAGAAGTTACTCGACTGTCTGCAACAATATTCACAACCTGGAATACTCTTCTTTTGATCTGTGGACACTTACGGACTAAAGGAATATGAATAATGGAGGAATAGATAGACAGTTGGACTTTGTGATAGCTTCAAAGGTAGGGAGTCGTTGTTTTATTGGTCATCCTTCACTATAGTTTATTACAGTACAACAGTTACCATGGTCAAAACACACCATCAAGACTGTCCCCCTGTTTTATTTCATAGATAAAAACATTGGATATTTTAATGATATATTGACGCCGAACTGGAAATGTTTCGGTTTTCATTTCAGAAATCTGGTCACCTTGAAAGAAAGGATCAAGAATATTTTGACACAGAGAGTTTGAGGTCATTGCTGTGATCTACTTAAATGCCTGTCTTTCTTCTTCCTTTTTCTTTAGGCATTTGTTTGCCATAGCAAACACTGCTTATTCCAAAATGATGGATGCCAAACACAACCAGGTCATAATAATCAGGTAAGAGGCTGAACCTATAATCTTCACTCAAATCCTCTCTCATCTCCCATTTTTAATCACTTTCCATGCACCTATAAATCACACATCAAAGTTCACCAAAGTTGAATGCCTTACTTAAAATAATACTCAAGTAAAGTACAGATACTCTAGAAATACACAGTACTCAAGTAAACATACTTTGTTACTGTCCACCTCTGCGTATCGACGTATCAGTTGGAACTACTAAGTATTTATTAGTACCTGATTCATGCAACAAAATCAGCTAAATTTGTAAATTGTGGGCTGTATTAAAGACTGTTATCAAAGTTTTTTTATATATGAAACTGTTGCATATATTTTGTCCATTATAACATTAGTCAACTTCCAAGGTTTTGTAATGGTTTAACTTTGTTGTACAGAATGTCCATGAATCTTCTTGGACAGTCAGGTTTCCGTCTCCAGCTGGATTAGTGTTTGTAAATTCATGAGTGTCTGTCTGTGGTTAACTGGTCATAAGACTTAAGACAGAGCCGTCCCTCGCTCCTCTCGTTCGCCGTCTGTCTGTCAAAACTCCTGAAGAAGAAGACACACACAAACTTACACTTACAGACAATAAGCACATTTACATCGAACTCAGGTGTAAGAATGAACTCAGGTATTACAGCACGTTCACACACTTTCACACACAGATATGTGCTTTTTGAAACGAGCAGAAACAATCATACACAGTACACTAACACTCGAACACACCTGGAACACTCTAGCCGTGTTCGGAAGGAGACACCTGTAAGGAAAGCCCAGCCAGGTCTGGGCCAGGAACAGGTTATGTTTCAGGTGTGTGTGTGTGTGTGTGTGTGTGTGTCCAAGTGAATGTGTGTGGACCCTGTGTGTGTGTGTGTGTGTGTGTGTGTGTGTGTCACTGAGTGCGTGTTATGGGGTAACTGAGGTCTGGTGTTCAGTGACCAGTAATGGCCCCGGTTTTTAGCTAACCAGCCCGTGAGCTGAAACCTTATGCTGGAATGTGGTCAAGGTGCCGGTGTCCCTAAACACACACACACACACACACACACACACACACACACACACACACACACACACACACACACACATCTTCACCCCCCCATTTGGCCAAGCTTACATAATGGTGGTATTTAGCATTAAGCTGTTGGCAGCACAGAACGTGTGTGTGTGTGTGTGTGTGTGTGTGTGTGTGTGTGTGAGTGTGGGTGTATGTGTGTGTGTGTGGTAGAGCGTTTCAGGTGGTTTAACGCAAAAGTGGAATTGAGGCCTTGCCCTAATGCAAGATTAGCCCGGTCTCACATCACTTAGTCAATTAAGTCAAACACTCCAGCAGCAGCGGCGAGAAGGATCACGCTCTAAGTGATTAATAAAAGCCGATCGTCGAGCTGCTCAAAGTGCGGATAATGTTCACACTTTGGCTTCAGTGAGCTTCCACTCTGCCGTTAAAACTACTCCCTTTTCCCTTTTAACAAATGGACTCTCACACTTTTGCTGCCCAATATGCAAATGGACAATGTAAGTGAGTGTCTTTCTGTGTCAACAACTCAAAACCAATTAACAAACCAACTAACAAAAGAAACAGCTTCCAACTCCCCAGCAAATAAATAAATGCCATCTATTAATAACATCTTATTTATTTATTTCCTATATATGCCTATAAATGTTTTTGTTTTTTTGCTTTTCTTTCTGTTTCTCTCTCAACAAATCAAAATATATATAAGTTCTCTAAATCTATAGCAATAATAAACTGTCAGTTGTTCTCTGGATGACGCCGTGTTGCCTTATGTTACTATAAAGCTGCGTTTAACAGTTATAAATGGTAGAAAGTCATTAGTCAGATTAATTAGTAGTAAGCATTAACTTGATCTTGCCAAATAGTGAGACTGCATCAATGTATGAAAACTGTTATAATTTGTTTATATATGATTTATAAAGTGTTACCAATATAAATCCTTTATAAGGGAAGTCTTATTGTGAAGTGGTACCAAAAAAGCAAACAAAAAGTTCTGGCACTAGTTTTGTCATGAGGGAATCCAGCCACTTAATAACCACACATACAGTCATTTCAACCTTTTCTAATTTCAAATCTTTTTCTTCCTCCTTCCTATTTACATTTACTATCAGCAGAGGCCGCGGGACATTTCATGATGTATAAACAGTATGAATCACATACTGAGTCGCACTGACGCTGTGATCTCTGTGCAGTGAGTGTGTGTTTCTGTGTTTCAGTGGGGAGAGCGGTTCAGGGAAAACCGAGGCCACCAAGCTCGTCCTTCGCTACCTAGCAGCAATACACCACAGATGCAATCTTGCGCAACAGGTACACACACACACACACACACACACACACACACACCTGCCTTGATGCATGACTAATAACTGATGCCTCTCTGTGTCTTCTTCTTCTGTTGTCTGTTTCTCTGATGCCCCCCCCCCCCCGGTGCAGATCGAGGTAGTGGGGTTCCCTGCATGGTTGTGCTTTACATTTTACAGCTCATCTTCACTTATGGCCATAAGAATAGCAGGTTGCTGTGTGTTGCTGTGGTGTGTGACAATACTCTTTTTTTAAGCGATTCAGGATCTGAGTTCTCTGATGTTTCAGCAGCTCCTTCATTTGATTGTGTTTGACACAGAAACAACTTGTCGTTTGCATTTTACCAGTTTTTGTCATGTTGCATACCCCACCCCCCCACCTGTAGATACTCGAGGCAGCTCCTCTGCTGGAATCTTTTGGAAATGCCAAAACTGTGCGGAACGATAATTCAAGTCGCTTCGGGAAATACATAGAGGTCTTTCTGGAGGAGTGAGTGTGAAATAAATACACATTAATAAATACGCACAATAAATACTCTCTTCTTTAATCTAACCCTGCTGTCTTTCCTCTCTCTCTCTCTCTCTCTCCAGTGGTGTGATCAGTGGTGCCATAACCTCTCAGTATCTGTTGGAAAAGTCCCGTATCGTCTTCCAGGTGACACCTGCAGATACATTAACACAGGACGACACTGTAAATAATAAGAAATAATAATACTTTTTATTTATATAGCTAAAGTGATCACAGAAACATACTGAAAACATAGAGCCACACAACATTATTACGTGTTAAAAACGGTTGTGAAAAGGTGAGTTTTTGAGTGGGGATCTGAACGTGGACGATCAAAGTTTGGGCAGTTCTGGTGATTTGTTTGATCGACGAGAAGCTGCTGTCCGAAATGAAAAAATCTGAAAAGTAAATGTTATACTCTTGCTTTCCGTCTCAGGCCAAAGATGAGAGGAACTATCACATCTTCTACGAGATGCTGGCTGGTCTTCCCTCGCAGCAGAAACAGGCTTTCTATCTCCAGGAGGCGGAGACTTACTATTACCTGAACCAGGTAGAACACACAGTGCGGCGTGTGGAGACAGAGCCGCTCAGATCGAGACGTACGTCATGTTTTGTAATAAAATCCTCTCTCTCTCTCTCTCTCTCTCTCTCTCTCTCTCTCTCTCTCTCTCAGGGAGGTGACTGTGGAATAACTGGAAAGAATGATGGAGAAGACTTCCTGCGTCTGCTTGCCGCCATGGAGATCCTTCACTTTACCCCTGACGACCAGTCGGCCATCTTTAGAGTTCTTTCTTCTATACTTCACCTGGGCAATGTCTACTTTCAGAGACATGAGGTAATATTTTATTCACGATCTATCTTCATCTCATATACAGTACGCCTCTTTATTTATTCCAGAAAGAAACTCTTAAAATGAAACTAAAAGAATTGTGTTTCAGAAAGATAAAAACAAAAGCACATGTTTTAAGCCCTGATTTAAATGAGCTTGTTCCACAGGTGAGGAGCAGAGAGACTAAAAGCTGCTTCACTTTTCTTTGGTTCTGATTCTGGGAACACGGAGTGAACCTGACCAGATGTATTGAGGCCCAAGACCATTTAGTGCTTTATAAACAAGTAGGATTTTATCCTCAGACACACAGGAAGCCGGTGCAGTGGTTATGGTTATTACTAAGCTCTGTGAAGATGCCATTACAACAGTCTAACCTAGACAGAAATCCTTTGATTCTTACCATGTTTTTAAGGTGACCAGATATCTGACATGAAAACCGAAACGTTTCCAGTTTGATGGTCAATATATCATTAAAATATCCAATGTTTTTACCTATGAAATAAAGAAGGGGGATGGTCCTGGTGGTGTATTTTTACCATAGTAACTAAACAACGACTCCCTACTTCTGAAGCTATCGCAAAGTCCAATTGTCTATTCCTCTATTATTTACACTCCTTTAGTTTGTAAGTGTCCACAGATCAAACGTGTTTCTCATAAACATAGTCCAGGTTGTGAATATTGTTGCAGACAGTCTTTTCAAGTTACGGCTGGGGGGGGGCTTTGGGTATGTTTGTTTTCGTTAGTTTACTGCCTGGTTATGAACTCCTGACCAGCTGACCTTCAAAAAAAATTAAATTCACAGTTAAAAACGGGGACTGTCTCTGAAACACAGGGACGTCTGGTCGCCCTACAGTAGTAAGCTGATTCAAATTTAGGTCCATAATTACACCAAGACTTCTGGCTTAATTTGTAGATTTTAGTTTAATGGGTTTTTGAATTTTTTTATTATGTATTACTTAATGAGATTATTTGAATGATCATTTTTCTGTCTTGGTCTTTCCCCCCGCTGCACTACAGGCTGATGGCCAGGAGGTGGCGTCAGTGGTCAGCGCTCAGGAGATCAGAGTGGTGGCAGAGCTGCTGCAGATCTCACCAGAAGGACTTCAGAAAGCCATCACCTACAAAGTCACAGTCAGTGTTAAACACAGTCATTTTAATAATGATATAATATTTTATATTCTTATCATTTAATAATTATAATTCATTAAATATCATTATTAATTATTAAATTATAATTGTATAATTAATATTTCATTCCTATTGTTTTATATTATTTATCGTGTTGTCAGTCTTGGTTCATTCAGAGTCGAGTTTGACCAAACACTGACAGACAGGTAACATGACAGTACACAGGTGTCTCTCTGCCTCTTGCTTACACACACACACACACACACACACACTCATGTATGTTCTGAGTTAAAGGCATTGTGGCGCTCAGTGTCGTTGACCCAGACACAAAGGAGACACTTAATTATGACCAAATTTCACACCAGTGCTTCATATTTTCTGTGACTCTGGATAAACAGGGATGTAACCTGGAACTAGTCTGAGTGGCGGAGGGATACGACCACGGGGAGGTGACTCTTGTTAGATTATGAAGTAGGTGTCATGATGAGTTTCCTCAATTGCTGCTTCTTTATTAAACCCTCTTCTCCTCAGGAGACGATGAGGGACAAGATCTACACTCCCCTGACTGTGGAAAGTGCTGTTGATGCCAGGTGAGAGACACAACACCTGACACATGGACTGTACACACAGTTATTATTTTCCCTCCAGATGTATTTCACATGTAACACCATTCTGAGGGAAATACCTCTAAATTAGAGCTTTTGTTCCCATTAACATTATTATGTTTTTGTAAATCATTGTCAAGCTCTCAGGTAAATACAGGTGATAAATGAATTGTGTGTATGTGTTCATATCTGTCTGACTGTCACACGGATACCTTTGCTCTCCAGAGATGCTGTTGCCAAGATCCTGTACTCGCTGCTCTTCCATTGGTTAACAGAGAGGATTAACGCTCAGGTGTACCCTCGCCAACACACACTCTCCATCTCCATCCTGGACATTTACGGATTTGAGGCGAGCGATTTTTGTCGTGGGCGAGTTGATTGTCACTTCCTGGTTTTACACAGTCCACAGAAACAGACATGTAGATGACCAGCTGTGTGTGTGTGTGTGTGTGTGTGTGTGTGTGTGTGTGTGTGTGTGTGTGTGTGTGTGTGTGTTGGGTACAACAGGATCTGGCCTTCAACAGCTTTGAGCAGCTTTGCATTAATTATGCAAACGAGTACCTGCAGTTCTTCTTCAACAGGATTGTATTCAGGGAAGAACAGGTGAGTCCACGTCACACCTGCGGGGACATTCGCTCACTCACACACATGTAGGTTCACAAAATCATCTCACTTAGTGCTGAAAGCTTTGATTTATTGATTGACAGGAATAACGATCAGACACACAAAGTGTTGATTTAGACGATGGCGTGGCTCATCGTGTTGTATGTGATCCCCGCGCAGGAGGAGTACAGCAGGGAACAGATCCCCTGGCAGGACATCCCCTTCAGTGACAACCAGCCCTGCATCGACCTCATCGCCGCTAAGCCTCATGGGATACTGAGGATTCTGGACGACCAGAGTTGTTTCCCGCAGGTGAGCGACGGGGAAACTTTACACCGTCCGTTACAGACTTGCAGTAAATTATTGTACATGACACTCGGATTCTGGTGATCTGTTGCCAGGCGACGGACCACACGTTCCTCCAAAAGTGTCACTATCACCACGGCAACAATCCTCTGTATCTGAAGCCAAAGATGCCGCTCCCAGAGTTCACCATCAAGCACTTTGCCGGCCGGGTCACCTACCAGGTAAACAGCTGCTCAGCGGTTCGAGCCACGGGACGAACTCTGCCTTGAGCCGGCCAGCTGGCGATCGATGGATTTGATTGGCTGGCATCTGTTGTGTCACTGATAACATTTGATCTGGACGCTCCTGTTTTTACTGAAATATCTCAACAGCTATTGAATGTGTTGATATGAAATCTGGTAAAGACGTTCACGCCCCCCCCCCAGGAAGAATTATAATAACTTTGACGATCCCCTTCTTCAGTTTACGATCAGATATTTACTAAACAAACATTCTCACCTGACGTTTTTTTGACAGCATTTACTGCATAATTTTCCATGGAAGAAAAGACAGAACAACATTAAAGATTAAAGGGACTACGGTAGTTCAGCGGTTGAAAAATGTAGTGCCGAAAAACATGTTTTAGACACTTTTACAAACACCCACGGAAACGATCCGATATCTGTTTAAATGAAGCTTCATGTAGAATATTTTCAGAGGTTTATCTTCCTGTAAGAAAATGTTGTGCCAAAGGAAAGTGCTGTTTTCACAGGAAGATAAACAGCTGGAAATATTCTACATGAAGCTTCATTTAAGTTTTTAAAAGTGTCTGTGGCCCCGCCCACAGCAACACGTCACTCTGCTGGTCTGACGTGTAACAGAAAATAAAATGAAAATAAAAGAAATAAAAACTGAGGGAGGTTTATGTCAAACTCACGGTGGCACTAGAGAAAAAGCCACGGACCAGTTGACATCAGCTGACGTCCACAGAGAAATGAAAACATGGAAACAAACTGAACTCTGACAGATCTTCCAATAATCTGCAGGTTTACAAGTTCCTCGATAAGAATTACGACCAGGTCCGACAGGAAGTCCTGGATCTGTTCATCCAGAGCAAGAACAAGGTGAGAGGAGAGGAAACATGAACGGCCATGTTCTCATCTCATTCACGTGCACATTAACAGCTGCAGTGTGTGTGTGTGTGTGTGTGTGTGTGTGTGTGTGTGTGTGTGTGTCCAGATGGTGTCGAACCTCTTCCTGGTTCACGCAGAGGTCATGGGTCAGCAGAGAGGAGGTCACATGAGGAAGAGCAGCACAGTCACCAGAAAATACCAAGCGCCGACCGTCAGCAACAAGTTCCAACAGTCGCTGCTGGAGTTGGTGGAGAAGATGGAGAGGTGACGGAGAGAGAGACGAGATCTTTTCATTCAATGTCATTTCATCTTTTTTACACTAATGTTTTTTTTTATTATTTAAAGTTACATTAAAAAGAAAATTATTTGATTTATTCTTCCGTTTCAGGTGCAATCCTTTTTTTGTTCGCTGCATTAAGCCAAACAACATGAAGGTAGATCCTCAAACATTTTATATTTTATATATATATATATTATATACATGATATTTGTGCATGTAACACGTAGGTAATGACAAAAGTGTGCTCACACGTGTGCGTCTGCCTCTGCGTTCAGCAACCAGGTGTGTTTGAGGACGACCTGGTGAGCAGTCAGCTGCGACACTCTGGCGTCCTGGAGACCATCAGGATCCGTAGGGAGGGGTATCCTGTCAGGATGCCATTCTACGTCTTCCTGTTCAGGTAACGGACACCTGGACGGCACTGACCAAGATTTTAATACTCGCCTGTCTGCAGAAAGAACAAGCTGCGATGAAGCAGATTGTTACGCTCCAGTGAAGAGCGAGGGGAGCGCAACGTGTAAAGAATGCATGTTACAATGACGTCATTTATTATCACCACAAACAAAGAACCAATTATTGAAACCAACTTCAGGATGAACCAAGTCCAACACAACAATCTATCTATCTATCACACCGTTATTTATATATACTGTATATATACATTTTATTTACATTCTCCCTACAATTATATTCATATCACATCACAACACGTTCCTTTAAGATAAGCTGAATATCTGACCACAGGCTAGTTGTTTTTATTTTGTGAAGCCTCCGTCTTTTGTAGGTGTGTGTGTGTGTGTGTGTTTGTGTGTGAGTGAACTCAGCTGAATGTGTGTCATCCACAGGTATAAGTCCCTGGTGGGGATTCGAGAGGTTCCACCTGCGACAGGTGAGAACTGTGTGATGATGCTCAGTAAACTGTGTCCCCTCAGACCAGGAGCGCATCATGTCGGAGTCACGAAGGTGAGAAAAACATTCATCTAGACTCGAGGACAAACTGATTGAATTTGGCTAAAGGTCAAAGTTCACAGGTCAAGCTCACGGTGACCTCACAAAACACACAAAGGTTTGATATTTTCTCTGACTCTGGATAAACAGATGTAACCTGGAACTAGTCTGAGTGGCGGAGGGATACGACCACGAGGAGGTGATTCTAGTTAAATGTGCATGAATGTGACCTGTACGTGTGTGTGTGTGTGTGTGTGTGTGTGTGTGTGTGTGTGTGTGGGTGCGTGCATGCGTGCGTGCGTGCGTGCGTGCGTGCGTGCGTGTGTGTGTGTGTGTGAATGCCAGATATTTCTGAAGGAGGACATCTACCAGCTGTTGGAGTGTAAACGGGAGCGCTCCCGTCACCTCGCCGCTCTCACCCTGCAGCGTTACACCCGCATGTTCTTTGTGAGGAAACGCTTCGTGGCCTTCCGCAACAAGATCATCCGGCTGCAGGCGCAGTGCCGAGGCTTCCTCACCAGGTCGGTCCGACTTTCATAACCATCAAGCGCTCGGAGCAGAAGCCTGATGTAGTTCTGTCAGTCCACTCACTTTTACTCTTTAAACAGAACTTTAACATCCAACATATTTCAATCATGTTGAATGTTAAAGGAGCAGATGTAGAGGCCATGTGGCAAAACATCAGGTACAGCATCTGTAAGTGTGTGCACAGTCTGTAAGTGTGTGCACAGTCTGTGTGTGTGTGCACAGTCTGTATGTGTGTGCACAGTCTGTGTGTGTGTGCACAGTCTGTATGTGTGTGCACAGTCTGTATGTGTGTGCACAGTCTGTATGTGTGTGCACACCCAGCTCCAGTGTTGTGGTCGATCGGGCGATGAAGTAAAGCAGCGATGAACTGTGTCTCTAAGTTACTGATCCAAACGATATCAGCAGAGCGAGGGGAGGAAACCAAATCCCGACTTCCTCTGTGAGAAAGTCCTTGTAGCTTGTCTGCAAGTTTGTCTCTTTATATGTGTCACATAAAGTTTCTTAGTAAGTGGGATCAACGCGCGTCTTGAAGCTTCTTATTCGACATGTGTAAAGTGTGATGTGAGATCCTCGTTGTGTCCTCCAGGAAGAACTACGTGAAGATGAGGGAGTGTGGTCCGGTTCCGCTCCCTCGTCCACATGTACGTCAACCGCAAGCAATACATCAAGGTACATGTGCTGTGCTTTGAACTGACGGGATGATTTCTTTCACATCCTCATTCGTGTTCGCACACTGTGAATAGTTTGGAATATATTCCACACTGACCTTTGTGATCCGTGTGCAGATGAAGTTCGAAGCCCAGAGGAAGGAGGACGAGGAGAGGAGGAAGAGAGAGAGGGTAAGACGTTTGAGAGTTTCTCCAAATTCATGGTTCACTTTGCAGATTCATTGAAAACAGAAACTCTTTCCAGGAGCTGACCAAGAGGGAGGTGGTGAACGTCACACACCTGGTGATCCCTGCAGAGCTGGGCGCTTTACTGCAGACAGCAGGAAGTGAGAAGCTGTCTGTCTGTCTGTCTGTCTGTCTGTCTGTCTGGCTGTCTGTCTGTCTGTCGTGGGGTTGTGTGAGGTCAGTCATATACAGCCGGTTCATTACCTGCAGTAGATTCTGATCAGCTCCTCCCAGGTAGGAGATCAGACCAGGAGCACCGTCAGACCAGCAGAGTGACGTGTCGCTGTGGGTGGAGCCACCAGAACAAACCTGTTTTAGACACTTTTAAAAACAAAGAGGTTTATTTTCCTGTGAAAACAGAACTTTCCTTTGGCACTACATTTTTTTTCAACCGCTGAACTACCGTATTCCTACGCACAAGCTCACTGTATTATGCTGCTTTCTGATTCACTCAGCTGACCTGCGGCTGCGTCGACCTCACACAACCCAGCGTCAGAACACCCCGAACTAGCTCTTCAAGTTCAGCTAAAACAGACGATGAGATTTATTAAACTTTACTTTTATTTCTAAGGTTTTAGAACAGATTTATATTCTAATATCTAATAATGTCCAGTCAGCGTCAACAGCAACAAAATAAAACATGCAGTAAAGTGTGTACACATGATGATAAACCCACTGAATCTGAATCAGAATAGCATCACACTACATCATGTAATGAATGAAGTGTTTAACAGAAATGAAAGGAGGATGAGCGGTGCAGTGACTGACCTGTTGTTCACCTCTGTCTCCAGTCAGGAGGGAGCTGCACTCAGACTGTCTGGCTCTGCTTCAGGCTCCTCACATCCAGGAAGAGGCGCAGCTCACTCTGCCTCTGGACATCAACAACTACCCGTTCTACCGCTACGTACAGATCTACTTCAGGGTGAGATGTGCATCAGTGTCGCGAGAATATTTCACTCAGTGAGCTTTAAACTGTAGTGCTGTGAGTTCCTCAGATGTTTCCTTTGTAAAACTGTCGGGAGTCACGACAATGAAGCAAGTGCTTTTACCATTTAATGCAAAATTACATTAAATTACATAAAACAACAACGAGCTCCTGATATTTTATTGTCAATTAGCTACTTGGATTTTTTTTTGCATCTTGAAAAGAGGTGAGGGAGGACTGTTTCATACCGCTGTGCTAAGACACCCTGAAATTGATTTCTTTCAATCAATCAATCAATCAAACTTGATTTGTACAGCACTTTTCATACAGGTTACTTCAGTTCAAAGAGCTTCACAGACTGATGAGCTAAAAAGAAAAGGACAAATCAAATAAAGCTGAGAATGAGATACAATAGAATAGATTTAAAAAGCTTTAATAACATTAGCAAAAAATAATAAAAATAATGAAAGAAATAGTTTAAAATACAATTTAGAACATAATAACAATAAAATAAGTAACTTTAAAAACAAGTAAAAGAATTTAAAAATCAACACGGAAGCTGACAGGAAACCGATGTCTAGATTTAACGTGCTTCCTAACAACACTGTCATTTTTTGCTTCTGTAGGAACCAAAGTTTGGGATGTTGACGGTTCCTCTGGAGTCGCCTCTGACCCGTGTGGAGGAGGATCTCAGAGGGGAGGCTGTGGAGCTCTTCATCATGGTAGGCTGACGTCTTTTCTGAAAACTGGATCTGGAGCTACTGATCTTTATAATGATTCACACACTGCCATGTTTTTTAAGATTAGCCAGGGAAAAGTCTTCTGGTTCTTAGTATTTGTTTTTCTATGAAACAACAACAACAGAAAAAAAGAAACGACAAGACAGAAGACATCAGGCGAACAGGACACGTCCCAGACAAAGAACAGTTTGTCCATTTCCCATTTGAGATAGTTCAGTATTAACCAGAGCAACACGCTCAGGACCAAGTGGAAATATGGTGCAACAATATACAACATGCTCTGGGTTAGTACGGTACTGTAAATAAAGATGGACGCAGCGTCTGTGACGTCACCCGCAGGTTTCTGAAGAGCAGATTTTGAAGCTCAGAGTGAGCTGCTCCACTATTGCCATCTTGGCAGTGTCTGACTCCGCCTCCTAACTCCCAGCTAATCCAAAGATGGGCAAAGAGGAGGGGCGCATTTCCAGAAATAAATAAAAATGTCACCGTAAAATAAAAAGCTATTTATTTATTTATTGACTCAATTGTATATTTATATTGATATATTTCTACATTTCTTACCTAATTTATTTATTTCAGAAGTTATTTCATAGCTGTATTTATTTATTTAGGTATTTATTTTTATTTAATTTTGATAAAAATGGCATTCCATAGTAAACATGTTTATTTCTGCTGTAAAGTTGGACATTTTAACATGGGAGTCTATGGGGACTGACTCACTGTTGGAGCCAGACTCTAGTGGTCGTTAGAGGAACTGCAGCTTCACGTTTCAGCCCTGCAGTTTGCCGCTTGAATATCACACATGGAGTTAAATGTGCGTTCTCTTCAGGTGTTAAGATTCATGGGCGACCCTCATCTGAACGGGGCGCAGGAAAACATGTTCGGGAATTACATCATCCAAAGGGGCCTGACGTCTCCAGGGTTACGGGATGAGATCATCTCTCAGGTTGTCAACCAGGTGTGGAGGAACGTAAACCCTGACAACGCTGAGAGAGGCTGGCTGCTGCTGCTGGCGTGTGTCTGCAGCTTCACCCCGTCGCCCAGGATGGACAAATATCTGCTGAAGTAAAAAAACAATGTTAATTGTTAATTGTAATAAATATTGTTATAAATATTTCCAGAACCTCAATTATGAGAAAAAAAATCTGAAAATAAATGAAAATGAAGGATAAGTATCTTAAATGTAAAATAAATAATAGTTTTTCCTCCATTAAGACGTGTAACCTCCTTTTGACCTTTCATGTCCAGGTTTGTATCAGACCACGCCCCTGCTGGTTGCCAGGCGCTGCTGCAACACAGACTCATCCAAGCCAATCAGAAGACACAATTAGGCTCAGGCTCCACCCCCGAGACCGCAAGGACCTATCCGCTGTCGCTGCTGGAGTGGACGGCCAACAGGAAGAGGGCTAACATGGTGCTGCACGTGCACTGTTTTGACGGTGAGTTGCATCTTGCCTCTTATTGTTTTAACGTCTGTCCTACTGAAAATCAGTCAGTCAGAGCGGCGGCCATTTTGTTTTCAATTACAGCCCCTGATCGTTAATTGATCATTGCCAGTCAGGATCAGGTGGATCAGGATCTTCGGGGCTCTCTGTCTTTGAATTTTGACATTTCTTGTTGAACAGTCTGTTGAGATTTCAAAACCACAAGGGAAGTAAAAACAGCTGCAGATGTTTGGTTTCCTGTCTCTCTGCAGGAGGGTCCTTCCTGTGTCCAGTCCATTCCTGGACCAGCGGAGAGGATTTAGCAGGAGACATCCTGCGCCACAGGTGCTGATATTATTCACTCATTCTCTCTCATGTTCATTCACCAGACCTCTGCAAAATCAAACAGTCACCTCAGAACAGTTTCACCTGAGCTGCTCAACATCAAACACTGTTTTCAGATCCAGCGCAAAGACCATCAAAATAAAAACATGACATTTTACATGTACTTTTACTTCCAAACACATGACACTGTAAAGTACAAACGGCTTTGAATGCAGCATGAACTGGCGCAGGCAGGTGTCTGATCGGTGTGGTGTTGCAGGGGAGTGTCTGACTGGTGGAGGGGGAGTTCGGTTCTGATGAAGGAGCGCGGCCAGTGGGTGGAGTTAGCGGGTCACGACTACGTGATGGATCTGATCTCAGACCTGGAGCTTCCCACCGACTTCCCAAAGCAGAAGAGCTACTTCATCATCAGCACCGACGACCCGGGTCGAGTCCGAGCCAACGCCAGTCTGTCAGTACAACACACACACACACACACACACACACACACACACACACACACATACACACAACATGCATGTACAAAGAAATTATAATCCCACCCTCTCTTCTCTCTCCTCTCTCCTCTCTCCTCTCCTCTCTCCTCTCCTCTCCTCTCCTCTCCTCTCTCCTCTCTCCTCCTCTCAGAGCTTTGGTTGGCAGCGGCTTTGACTCTGATGAGGAGCTGGGCCCGTCGTTCCCTCTGAGCGGCGGCGGCAGACCGGCCTACAGTCTTCCTGACTCTGACGGTTACTACAGTCATGGTACACTCAGATAAAGATGGTTTCTGACTGCAGGTGTGAACTCTGTGTTCAGAGTCTCTGTGTCTGTGTCCAGTAGAGTCCGATGCGTTCAGTGACGGTCAGACTCAGAGAGGAATGGATCGCTACCTGGACAGTCTGTTTGACCCTGTGTTGTCAGACAGCAGCATGGTGAGCGCTCACACACTCCTCTACAGTCAGATACAGCTGTGGAAACACTGCAGGGCAGAAATGACTTCATATTCATATTCATATCATGTCATGTCATGTCACAACATGTCACAACATGTCATATCATATCATGTCATGTCACAACATGTCACAACATGTCATGTCATGTCATGTCATGTCACAACATGTCATATCATATCATGTCATGTCACAACATGTCATGTCATATCATGTCATGTCACAACATGTCATATCATGTCATGTCACAACATGTCACAACATGTCATGTCATGTCATATCATGTCATGTCACAACATGTCATGTCATGTCATGTCACAACATGTCATGTCATGTCATATCATGTCATGTCACAACATGTCATGTCATATCATGTCATGTCATGTTATATATCATGTCATGTCACAACTTGTCTTGTCATGTCATGTCACAACATGTCACAACATGTTATATCATGTCATGTTATACATCATGTCATGTCACAACATGTCATATCATATCATGTCATGTCACAACATGTCACAACATGTTATATCATGTCATGTTATACATCATGTCATGTCACAACATGTCATGTTATAAAGCAATTTAAAAACATCAACTTAATATAATATAATATAACCAATTAATTAATTGAAGAAGAAAAAATAGATTAATAATAAAGGAAACTATTGTTAGTCTAAAAAAAAAAAAAACTGTCACATCATGCCCCCCCCCCATGCTAGTGGGGTGTTGATGGACGGATGGAGCATGTGATCCACTGCCTCTGTTTGTGTGTGAATGGAGCAGACAGGAGGGCGGATCAGGTTACTGAGCGACCTACCGTATATGACTGTAACAGCAGGCAGCGCACCGCTTCACAGTCCGTCTATTGGTTCTCAGTAACATGATGTTTATCCATACCTGCTGCATTTATATTCTCCTTGAGACACTTGTAAAGTGTTTTTCCAGCTTCTTTGGGTGTCAGTTTTAGCTGTCAATCAAACAGTGTGGGTGGTATTATCAGTTTGAGGGTGGACAGTAACTAAATACATTTACTTCAGTACTGTACTTAAGTATATTTATAGAGTACCTGTACTTTACTTGAGTATTATTTTTTGTAAATTTCTGACTTTTACTCCTCTACACTTAAAAGATTTAAAAGACAAACATTGTACTTTTGACTCCACTACATTTCTATGACGAACTCTTACTTTGAAGCAGAGCTTTTAGTCAGAGGAATTAATCTTCTTTTATTTTGAAAGTGTGACAGACCAGACACTGAGAAAAACCCAATGACAGTCAGCTCCTCCACTGTCATTGGAGGAGCTGACTGGAGTTCATGTTTAGCTCTTTTGTGTTTGTGTGTGAGTGTGTTTGTGTGTGGGTGTTTGTGTGTTTGTGTGTGTGTGTTTGTGCATGTTGGAGCTTCTCTTCCAGTGTGTACGGTACTTCCTGGAGCGTATTCAGTTCCTCCAGCTCTGCTGACTCACGCAGCGAGGGTCTAATTCAATTCAATATACTCCCTCTCTCCTGTTCCCTCGGCCTCTCTCTCTCTCTCTCTCTCTCTCTCTCTCTCTCTCTCTCTTTCTCTCTCTAACACACAAACTGTTTGTCAAACTCTTCATGTCTGTAAAACTGCACTTCCTCTCCCTCTGCTCTCGTCCTTTTCCCCTCTGCTGAGTCTCTGTTACCTGCTTCCAGGACATGGAAAAGACTGGAAGTTTGTCAGCGCGGATGAAGGGAGGAGGAGGTATAGGCATCACAGGGGGGGGAAGAGGAGAGGGGGAGAGTCATGCAGCCCCCAGCCGGCCTTACCCACCAGGAATACACCCAGGAGGTAAAACCTGTGTTTGTGTTTGTCACGTCTGCTGTTTGTTCTTCAGGTTGAAATCATCTAGTTTTCTGTCTTTCTTCTGCCGACTCCACTGTTTCCACTTTCCCCCTCCTCTAATTTCATCTTCCTTTTATTTTTTACTCCATTTTTCTTTTGTCCCACCATCCATCCATCCATCCCACTAACTCTCCTCTGTCTCCACTGACTCTGAGAACTGGTGTCAGACGTGTGAGATTAAAGCTTCAGTTGTTGACACCAGGTCAAAGGAACCACATGACGACAGATGAAAGGTTAAAACACAGCCGTAATAACGTGATGCAGATCATTAGCAATGTTTTTATTATTGTAATGGGGGGGGGGGGGGCTCAGTGATACTGAACAGGGCTCAGGTGTAACAGCTTCAGGTGTACAGTTCACCCGCCTTAATCTGTCGTTTAGAGGCTGTAATGAGCCTGGCCTCATGGATAATGCATAGACAGCCGTTGACTGTAACCACAGCAGAGCGTCTATAGGCATCTGTCCGTCTCATTCACACACATACGCTTCTGTCTCCATGGTTACTCCGCTTGTTTTCTCACTGCCGTTGTTTCTAAGGGGTGTTGTGTTTGTCTGCGTCTCTCGTACAGAAGGTCTCTATGGAAACTTTACATTTCACAATTACTGATGTATCACTCTCCAAACATCTGGAAATATTTATAATACTACCTGTCAATCTTTTTATTTTTTTTATTTTTATTTACCCAAGGATGAACTGATTAGCCTTTGGGGGTCAAAGGTCAAAGGTCAGGGGTGTAGTGACGTGCACACGTGATATCTCCGAAACACCTTGAGGGAATTTCTTCAAATCCACCCGTCACCCAGTTTCACATGATTTAAAATATGTATTAAATCGTTTTTTATATGGAGAGAAATGCACTCAACACTTTGTTCACTCTCTAGGAAACACACGACGAACTAATGTAAACACAACTTTTTCTTCTTTATAAAAAAACTCCTTTAATATCATTTTGTTTATTTTTCTTGTTTTACGAATTCACGTTTTTATTCCTTGAGATCACGGTGACACATCATTTCATTTCACATTTCTTTTGAAAGTCGGTGTCGGCAACGATTTCTGATAAAATATATTATTGATTAATATCAGTATGAATGGAAAACGTACTCTGTGCTGATTGGCAGCTCTTGTCCAGGATGACCTTTAAGTCCCTGGAAGCGACACAGTCCTAACTCTCACCCTGTTCCCTGCTCGCCGCGCCTCAAGCTGTGCCGGTGCTGCCGGTAGCAGGAGGAATGATGCCGCCCATCCCTGCCATGCCAATCCCCTCCCACCACCATCACCACGAACAACACCAGCAACAACACCAGCAACAACACCAGCAACAACAACACCAACAACAACAACAACAACAATACCACCAATACAACCGTCCCCAGCACCCCTACCAGCAGCAGACTTCTCCCACCACCACTCCTGCCTCACCTGTAGCACCCACCCCCTCACCCGCTCCTGCCCCTGCTGCGGATAGAGATGCTGATGTAGCGTCCCGTATCGTCGCTGCCCCCGGTCTGCCAGGGGTGCCCTCGCTCCCGGCCACACCTGTAGTCTCAGGGATGACAGGTGTACTAGGTACAATACACGGGTGTGCG